TCTACAAAATGAGGGGTTGAATTAAAACATTAAAACCTGAAGTAGTAAATAAATTTCCATGAACAGTTTACAATGTACACTTTAGTAGTTATTTTTCCAATATTCCGTGCCAGAGTCCTTACATGCAATTGCTGTGTAAACAGTAATATAAATTAATACTTGCGACGAATCATGTGCATTATTAATAATTGAGTTTGTTTTCTATCAGTAAAATTCTGTAAGCCCAATCAAAATATTTAAATATCTACAGCTTACTGTAGATATTGTCCATTAAAAACCAAATGTATCACTGACGCAACCTAAAATGCGGACCGTTTTTCCTTCCGACAATCGGACAGCAAATACCCATCGAATAGCCAGCAAAATCGGAACATGATCGGATACAAAAACGGAGATGGATCGGGCAGGTAGCGGAAAGATGTGAACTACGGCGTTGAAACTCCAGTACCATTTTGCTCTCAGATCTTCGTCCGATTGTATGATCGGAGTGGGATCGGATAGATGTGACTCGGCCTTAAGGCACATGGCAGGATAATGAACGACCGAACGCAAAAGAAAGAGGGCGAGCTGGCACAGAAGGGACAACGATTAGGCCGTTTAAAGACAGGCAGATCGACCTGATCTAACGTCATAAGACTACTAGCCGCTGCATCTCGTACAAAATCTTCGGAAATCGTTGACCAGGAAGGCGGATATCCTGGCTAACCAACCTCAGCTCAAGAAATCAAAACATGCTATTTCCGAAGTAGATAACGCAGTTGGGTTTTTCCGAACCACGCTGCCGGATGCAGCCTCATCCTAATCAAGTTATCGGTACAAAAACTGCCACTTACCTTCGAAGTGGAAGAGAGATTCTTGGCAACTATACTGACAGCTCCATTCAAACTGAGAGCGGTACTGCTAGACATCTGTTTAGTAGGAGATTCTTTGCTTTTCCCCGAAGCGGTGACCGTGATTCCACGACTGGCCAGCACATTGGCTACCGCCTTGGCGTCCGATTTTTGCGGAGTATCTGCCGGCTTAGGGGGCGGATTCCGCACCGATAGAGTGATCGAATCGGACAGCTTCATAATACTGTTTTCCACCGATTCAGGCCCGCCGTGGACGTTCTCGATTTGGGGCAAGCCCGAGTTCTTCTGCTGGATGCATATCACTTGGCAATCGTCGTCGTCCTTATCGGAGGGAGTCAGCACGTCCACTCTTCGGCGCTTCCCCGGTATGCCCTGATTAGACTCGCGCTTGATTACGGAATGTGCCTTGCTCGGCCTCTGGCCGTTTTGCAAGTTGGTGATTCGTGGACGCGTCGGTCCCCTGATCACTGCACAAGGCCCTGCAAACAGTGTCACATTAGTGTGGGCGTGAAAATCAACTAGCCCGATAGTAAAGAAAATAATCGAGATATCACAAACTTTAGTGATAGACGAAAAAAACCAACCCAAAATATTGGTTAAAGAGAGGACAGTCAGACACAGCAAATAACATTAGAGCAGGATCCAAACCATATGAGTTTAGAATGTATGAATAATTTTCAAGTCAAAAGCCGCCAGAAAATTTACAATTTGATACTTTGGTACTACAATTGGGATACATTGCACAACAGCGCAAAGTATCCTAGTTAGTCAAAGGAACAAAGTCCTAGAAACGCCGAGCAAAACATGAATACAAATCGTCCGGCTGTCTTCTCTATAACTTACGAACTCTTCGCCAAAACCTTACCAGTTCCCCTCGGTCGGATGATGGGCGCTCTCGGCCTGACTCCGGGCGATCGATTCCCCATGGGTGCCCTCAAGCCGCCCGCCCCCCGTGGTACTGGGGGCCGGCTGTGGGGAGGCATGGGGGCCCGGTAGCCGCCCTGCATGCTGTTGGGCGGCTGGCTAGGAGGCGGCATCGGCTGACTTTGCGAAGAAGGAACCTGCAACCTCAACAATTACAGCCACTGAACAGCAGCCATAAGCAGCCGAAACGTACCATGGGGTTGGGCGGCTGTCCACTGGCGTTGATTGGTTGCGGTCCCATCTGAGGCGGCTGCATTTGGCCCATGGGTGCCGGCGGCGGCGCCATCGGCCCCATTTGATGGGGGGGTGGCGCCATGTGCGCCGGTCGTGGATGCTGGGACGGAAAGCCCTGCGCTGGAGGATATGGAGGATATGGAGGCGGCCTGCAAGATAATTTCTATGTGAAACTCAAACGATTTTGCTAATAAACGAACAGAGTTTTGTATTTTACCAATTTTTTTAATTCAATATAAAGTACTTTAAATAGTATCTAGTAGCATGATAAGAGTTGTAAGGAGCCTTTCGCGTACGAATGGAAAAGTTGAATTCAACAACAATGAAAAATAGTTTTAACTTAAAACTTTTGATTCAACCAAAAATCGCTGAATTCAAATCAGCGGGAACAGACGCTCCAGCTGACAACCGCGCAAGATACTACAAAAACTTTCAAACTAATCGCGAATTCCACTACCTACCTAAGGGGGCGCTGCAAACGTACACAAATACCCGTGACGAGTGACACCTCAACAATGACCAGGACTAAATGTAAATAAAATACATGTCAATGTCTCTCGCCAAGCATAGTTTATTCGCGAGTTCAAAAATCCAGACGCCCCCTGGTGGCTAAAATATAACTACAAGTTTAGTAGTAATTTGACAGTTGCTTTGTAGACATTGGTGTTGACATCTGATTGTGATTTGTTTTGTTCTAATCAACTTTTGCAAGCTGTGCAAGTGTAAGTATTGGTTAATGTTACAAATTTCATCTACTCTAATAAACAAACACCTCTGACAAGTCTCAACTGTCACTCGACAACGAGTAATTTGACGTTTCGCAGCATCACGATCGGTAGTTGAACTCGTGAATATTCTTAAATATGAATGGAATATGTCAGTTTCGACAACGATTAGTTGACAGCAGTCTAGAGTTACAAATTAAAACGTCATACGTTCTTAACCCAATTTTCACTATCTGGTGCATTTTCCTGAAAAGCTTTAATGTTAAACTGACATTATAAACGAGCCTTGATGTACTTGGTGTTAAGGGGAAAACACGACGAGTGGCGCATTAGTCGCTGTCTTCAGTAGTAAGCAGGTTAGGTTCGAAATGAGCGCGTGTGTGCAAGTGTTATAAAAAGCCGTTGTAATAATTCAACAATTCAAAAGTTCCTTTTCTTTACAAAATGTTGGTGAGCATCAACCAATAGAATGAGAAACACGACGAAGGAGCTTTAGCTGACACAAAAAGAAGACAAGTGAAGTGAAATAAAATCCTTTGTTCCTATTGCAATGTGGCCTTCTGTTATGGAATAGTTTAAGATCTTTCATACGAAGTTTTTTTGATCATATAAGATAACATGAGAACCTTTGTGAACCAGCTTTATTCTTGTTACAATTTATTGCGGTCTTTGGAAATCTAGTGGGACATATGTATCCCACGGATAAACCCGAGAGAATGTTCAAGTATTCTCTGTCAAAAAAACATATCTCCTCCTTCACGTTTTGCAAAAATTTTTGGAAAACTTTGCAGCTTCGAATTATGTACAAAACCCTAATAATTAATTCTGGGTCTTTTTCCAAAAATATTTCCCCGAACTGAAAATGCGAAAGTTTATAATCATTTATTTGGAAAACTCTTGAAAACTGGGGTTTCTTCACTTTTAGGTCAATATTTATAAACAACACTGTCTCTGAACAGAAAAACCGCGTTTTTCTAACGTTTTACTGTAAAATACTGGAAACTTAATCTTTTATGCAAAAAAAATTAAGAGGTCGATTTTACAAGAAAACTTATCGACTTTCATTGGTCTCAGTTTTGTTGCTGGGAAAATCTAGTTGAATTTTTTTAGTTGTTTGAACAAAGTAGTAAAATGTTGATGACCCTTCTTTAAGAGGTGAAAGTTCCAGCCTCAGGTCTCCTAAAGCTTTAATAAATGACTTATAACTCATTAACCGATGAGTTATAACTCGTTAACTCAAAGAGCGGCAACAACTCAATAGCGCAACTCAACACAGTGTTACCCAGGCCTAGATCCAAGAGCGTGTCCCTAGAATTGCAACGTTCTAATCACCAACTCTTTTCCCACGTGCAAAATTGGCATTGGTTATCGTGCGCGAATGGCGTGGCTCGTTGAGTTTCACAATTCCCAAAAGGATTGTGGCCAATCCTTGAGTTTCAGCTCAAAATGTACAAAATTAGGCAAAAAAATGAAAGTCGCTCTGTGTCTAGCTGTTTATATGAATTTGATGGATGAAGAAAAAACAGAATCTGTGTGAAAAAATAGAGGAAAGATCGTAATAAATATGGGCATATGCCATTGACAAATGAATTACGACTATACTATCCTGACGACTTTAAAAATTACCTTCGTATGAATTGTGAAGCTTTTAAAATTTTGTTGGATTTACTCACCAATAGGGTGTTTTTATTGAATGAAATTGCTTTAAGCACGATGGATTTGCAAGAAAAGAAAATGATTATGAACCCGACGATAAAATTCCACTTAACGAATGGTTAGAAAAGCATA